GACCTTGCAAACAGAGAGCTTGATTGAAAATCGGATTCTTAATCAATTGATTAAGAAATTGCGAATTAATACAGGCAACCATTTATGTTTCCTGCACTGGTATAGTAGCTGCATTCTGCTATAGTTTCTGGAGCACGTGTGATACACTTACTGCAATTACAACAGAAATTATCATCACAAAAGATGTGGGGAACTGAGAAACATGTATTAACCACATTTTCACAAGAAAAAGGAGTGGTTCTTGGCATCAGTCTCTCTTAAGCATAATTTCTGTTCCTAGTGAGCAGTACTAGAAATATTGCACAGTGATTGCTCAACATCTGGAAGGTTCTAGGGCTACAATCAACAAACACTAAGGTCTAATTAAAAAAATCTTACTGTGTAAACTTGAGTGATTTGTTCAGACAGATTTATAAAAGGAATGGCTGAAGAGAAGACAGCAGATGTAGTATATTTTTTTAAAGGTTTCAAGTCATATTTTGTAAAGATTTAACTTGAAAAATTAATTCAAGCTGGCTTTGCTGGGGAAGCCGTGAGTTGCTGTGGACACCCATCCCCTGACAGCAGGCAGTGACTGCCCAGCTCTGTGCCCAGTGCTGTAGGTGTTGGAGGCAGGATGCTTTGCAGGTTCTGGTTACCAGGCTGCTCATGTAACACAGGGTCTGCAGAAGTAATGCCACTGTTTTATGGCTTTCCAGGAACAAACAGGGCAACTCCCTTAAGCACAATTACCTCTTAACAGTGGCAACCTTATCAGCCCTACAGCTGAATCCCAAATGAGGATTGGGATTGGTTGGGGTGGGTCATGTTGGGACCATTTGACACCAGTCTTCTGCCAGTCACAAATGCAGTTCTGTCGCGTCTCCTGCTTCCTTATGTCCTGCTGCTGCTACTACTGACGCTGCCAACAGCAAGCCATTTCCTTGGGAAGCTCTCTCAGGCTGCTTACAGCCCAGCTGCCTCATTCTGCCAGCTACCAAACTGCTGCTCCAGCTCCCATATAGGCTTCTCCCTCTCAAACACCCTTACAGTGTGCTGGAAACTCTGGTATATACTGGGAACCTCAATACAGTGTTGCAAAGACATATGATATATTGAACTGTGAGGAGATGTTTGGGGTGTGATAGATATGGGTGTGAGGGCTGATTTTTTTTTTTAAATTATTTTCATCAGGATAATAAAGTAAACTTCAGAATGCTGCTGACATTTACAATTGTACATCTCAAAAAGCTGCAAATACCAATGAAAAAAGGTTTATAGATGGGGTGTAAAGAAACGTTGCACTCGAAAGTAATGGTTTTGATCTAGAATAAGGCAAATTGATAGATAGTGAACAAATAATCCAAATAATACTTCTATGGAAGAAATAGCCTGAAAAATATGAACTGGAAAAGAGAGTGATGGGATTGTCCTTCTCCTCCCCTGGCAACTAGATGCAGGATATGGCAAGGCAAAAGAGCGATGTCATTTTGGACTCCCCATGAGCTGTAACAGCATCAAGTTAAGTAATTTTCTTTTTCATTTTGGCCTAAAATATTCAGTTCTATCCACAACACTGTGAAAAAGACAAAAAATAAATGAGAAAGAGTTCTGAAAAAAAAGCCAGGGAAACAATCAGTGACTGGAGGTCAGATTTATTTGGAAATATGTGTATATGTTTAACTTGCCCAAAACTTTAAGGGTGAATAAGGGGAACTCATAATGGATGACTTTTTCTGGAACAAGGTACTTAAAAATACAAAGTAGAAAAAAAGGGTTATCAGGCTGCCAGAGATATCAACACTGCTTTGTTAGCTGCTGCTGCCGCTGAGCAGGTCCCAAAAGAGTGCATAAAAATGAGAGTTGCATTTATATTCTGAGAATCCAGCTTATGTTTTGTTTTCTCAGAAACTCACTCCCAGAGGTTTGTTTCTACCACATATTTAGATAAAAAGTAAGGACACTGCTCCTCCAGAGCAGTGCTGAGAATCACAGCGACTGTTTGACATTGCTTTCTATTCAAATACAGTCATTGTTCCTCCCTAGGCCTATATGTTAGCCTCTCACTATCACACACCAATGGGGACAAGATGAGGAACGAAGCTAATGGGTGGCAACACCATGTACATAACAATGTATTTAGAAGAGGAGAAAGAGATGCAAGATGGGGAAAAAAAAAAAAAAAAAACAGGCAAAATACCAACAGAAACATGAGGACTTCAGGGTTTCTGCACTGCTGACTCTTGCCTTCATACTAAGACATAGAGGACCTGTTGACACTGGAAGCCAGGCTGTAAACTTGGCCAAGGTGTTGGCTCTGCTGCCTGGCCAGTAGTGAGGCTGCACAAGCATTCTGACACAGCCTGGTTGTCTGCCCTCCTGCCTGATCCCATCCTCACAACCCTGATCACTCCTGAAGTTAGCACCCCCAGACAGCTCAGGACAGAGCCAGCAGGCTGCCTGCATGACAGCCCTGTGAAGGAGACCCAGAGCATTCCACCCATGTGTATGAACTCTTGCAGAACTGTGTGAATAGACACAGCAGGTTGCTTGGATTTTAAACATGGTAAGGACAAACTGCCTGCTGCAAAACACATGGGGCATGACAAGAGGCTGAAGGAGTAAACAACATATTATATTCTCATGTCGTGGGACTACCAGGATGAAAATGTCAACAAAAAAAAGAAGGCAAGAAAAAATAAGGGGCAGTAAAGCAGCCATCTTGTCCCATTCGCTTTGAAAATCAGAACAGTAAGTAACTTGGGGTCTCCTCTGTTTAGCAAACACTTTTGTTACAGCAGAGGACATACAGAATGAGGAGTTAGAAGATAAGGAAGGTATTTACTAGAAGAGATTATGAATGTATCATAGATTAAAAGCAGTTTCAGCTATGAGTTCTATTTGTATAGAAACTGCTAAAATACTTTGATAGGACAGATATTCTACCCAATGCTTGTGTTGTCTTGCATCAGAAAATGGAAGTCAAACAGACCTCAGTATTATTCTTGCTTTCATACTTTCTGGATTTTTTGGGTATGGAAGGGGCAACAAAAAAAAATCCATGAGCAATTATAGTGTGCATTTGAGAAATGTCTAGGCTGTTAGAGCTCCTGGGAGTGCTTGACAATATAAAGGGAAAGACATGCAGGATCTGCGTCAGCTCAGTTATGGCATAACTGTATTCCAACACTTAGAGGATGGTGGGGAGCTCAAGAGCATACCAAACATGGTGTTCTGCCAGGGGAGGTTTAGGTTAGACATTAGGAAGAAGTTCTTTACAGAGAGAGTGACTGGGCATTGGAATGGGCTGCCCAGGGAGGTGGTGGAGCCACCGTCCCTGGAGGTGTTTAAGAAGAGACTGGATGTGGCACTTAGTGCCATGGTCTAGTAAACAAGGTGGTGTCAGGTCAAAGGTTGGACTTGATGATCTCAGAGGTCTTTTCTATCCTGGTTAATTCTGCGATTCTGTGATTCTAAAGCACATGATGCACTTTAAACTCTCTGTAGTATGTTTATTTATAGTTAGTCTGGCTTCAGCAGAATCACAAAACTACATCTTTTAAAACTCTTCCCAATATATCCAGTACAATGCAGGCTGCAAACATTTCTATTCACACAATTTAACCTGTAATTTAAATAGTTATATATACAGGGTCATTAATTCTGGAACAAGCTCTTTCATCTATTTGAAATTATTTTAATATTTAATTCTAGTTACTCTATTCTAGACTTATTCCAGATTTGTCTTGGTTCCAGAAGGTCATAGAAGTATCTTCCATCAGACATATAGATATTGTAGTATGCCCTGGGTAAAAAAAGATTTAGGATTCTAGTTGGGTTAGGAGCACAGCTCGTATTATTTATTATCTGCAGATGCCAGGACATTAAAAGTTTCAATTGTTTTCCCACCAAACTGAAAGGCAGGTTGTTAATACAATTACCTCTATATAATTGGAAACTAAATCAATGATGACTGTGTGATTCAAATGGTACTTTAAATAATTTCACTTTTATGATGCTATTTTGTTGCACATGTTATCACCAAATAGCTTATTCATTTTCTTGGCAACTGTGATTTGAGTTTGTGTCTTTTTCTGTGATGGAAGAACCACATTTTCAACCTTTCTAGTTTTCTGGGACACAGTGGGCATTGCTTTTAAGTATTTAGGTTGATACACATTAACACTGGAAGTCCATAGTCCGTAGTGAGTGAATCAAGAGGGAAGGACTGGGTGGATTGTAACTGCCCTCAAAAAAGGAGTAGGCACTAGAGGTCTTTGGCAAGGCCTTTAAAGGAAAGCAAGAATGTGGGGTAGACAAGCAACACAGAACTGTTGCGAAGAACTTCCCCTACTCCTTTCAGAAGAGCATCCCTAGTCACTGCCTGTTTGCTTTTGGTTTTAAATATTTAGACAGGTAATAGAGAGAAGGGTCACAGACTACTGTTATCACATGGGAGTCACAAACATTAGTGTTTTATCAACACTGTTTTCATCACAAATCCAAAGCACAGCACCATAAAAGCTACTGTGAAGAAAATAAACTCTATCCCAGTCAAAGCCAGTACAATCTCCACACCTTATTCCATACCATTTACATCCTGCTCAGATCCCACTCTATCCAACAGATCCTCATTAAGCACCTTCCCCTTTCTCATCCTTTGATGTAGACACAGATATAATTTCCTCGGTCTATGAACCACCCCTGTAAAATGTCCATAAAATGTTCATGAAATGCCCATTGAGTTCATTAGTCCAAGATGTTGGACTACAGCTGTTCTGGTGGTCACTCAGGACAGGAGAGATGGTGTGTTGTGTGGAATTACTGGGCACCAAAGCCAGCTCAGGTTCGGTCACTGCTGCACATGCACTACTTCTTGTAAGCCTTGTTCTCCACTGGTAGTGGTTCCTGCTATAGCAATCCTATAACATGCAACTCAGATCATAGTTTACAACAATTTAGAGGTATATACATTATAGTTTCCATCTCTGGTTCCTTTGGACACCACAGTATACTCTTACCCTTGCCTCTGCTCCAGTGTGAACTTATCCACAGACCCCAGTCCCTTAGGGGTGGATCCCTTAGTGTGGACTTACTCATGGGCCACAGTCTCTTCAGGGGTGTACCTGCTGTGTTGTGGACTTATCCGTGGCTCCAGATGCTTTGAGGTGTTTCTTCTCCAGTGTTCTTCTCCTTATCCCCAGGCCACAATCACCACAGGGTACACCCTGCTGTGGTATAGACATATCCATGGCCACAGACACATCTGCTCTAACATGGTCTTATCCACAGCCATGAATACTACAGGTTGTCCTGCTCCTGCACTTATCCACAGGTCAAATCCCTTCAATTCAAACTGACACTGGAGCTGCAGCCTGTCCAGCCCAGCAGCACAGAAACAGCAGTGATGCCCAGGCCATGAACCAGCCTGGGCACATTGCCATGTCTGTTATCAAAATGCTCCCAGGCACAGCTGGGTAAGATGATAAGCCCTACAGCAAACAGCAAGAGCCAGAAAAAAAGGCACTAACAAGCACTAGATTAATGCACAGCAGGGCAAGCCCCATGACAAGGACAGCACCTTGCAAATTAATAGCTAAATAGCACTAACAGATACAAATTCAGTCTAGCAAACTCCAGTCAAACCTGTTGTTACCTCAAACCCTTTAAGCCCCAAGTTGGGCACCAAAAAGGACTGTGGGCAGCTCAGCCCCACACAGCCACATGTCCACTTACCCCCACTGGGATTGGGGAGATAATTAGAAGGGTAAAAGTGAGAAAATTTGTGGGTTGAGATAAAGACATTTTAAATGGGAAAGCAAAAGCTGTGCACACAAACAAAGCAGAACAAAGAATTCATTCACTGCTTCCCATCGGCAGGCAGCCGTTCAGCCATCTTCAGAAAGTCGTGTTTCATTACATGTAATGGTGACTTGGGAAGAGAAACACCATCACTCCAAACGTCCTCCCTTCCTTCCTTTTTCTCCCAGCTCCATATACTGAGCATGATATCATATGGTCTGGAATATCCCTGTGGTCAGTTGGGATCAACTGTCCAGCTGTGTCCCCTCCCAAGTCCTTGTGCACCCCCAGCCAGCTCCCTGTCAGGGAAGCCTGAGAAACAGAGAAGGCCATGACACTGTGCAAGCACTGCTCAGCAATAGTTAAAACATCCCTGTGTTATCTTTTATCTGTCTTAATCCATTGTTCTCAAGAATTTTTCAACTTGAAAGGAAATTAATTTCTGAGGTTAAGTCATTCAGCCAGAACAAGGTAGAAACTCTGACAATCATGCATTCAAAGCATATCAATGTCAGTTGATTCTACAGGATGAGACAAGTAGCAGCAGAAGATAAACCATTCCTGATTCCTCTGAGTCAAATTTAAAATTGAACTTTCCTCAGAAAGATTAAGGGTCTATATTTTACTTGTCCATGTTCATGTACAAAGTCTTACCACTTCTTGTATTTCCACTGTTCCTGGGAATGAAATCATAACCAATACTTAACATCTGGGATGTGGGGAAAGGTTGTGGGTATTTGGTTACTAGTACTCTAGTACTAGAGACAGGGTTTTCTCCACGAAGAGAAGAAAGAACCATTTACTGTACTTTAGACTGCATGTTAACCTCATCTAACTTTTAGATGGTAAGGGTTAGAGAAGATGAATTCCAGCCATCACGGATGAGAACATACCACCTTATGCCAACAACTAAGCAAGGATCTCTGGTCCATCCTATGACTTTGAGATGTAAGAAGGGAACAGAGCTTGTGTCACATGTAATCCAGATTCTGGGGTGCTTGGCCTACATCTCCTGCAGAGCTCTCTGTAAAAGAGAGGATGTCACCTTACCACTGAGTGAAAAATAAATTTTGTTTCACTAATTCCTTTCACCAATGTCTTTCTAGTGACATCACAGGGATAAATTTTTAAATTAAATTCCTTATTAAAAATGTAACATCAAAGAAACTTTAGTCAAAATCCCAGATCCTCAGAGTCACTTCCCATTAGTCACTGGTTGAAAGTTCAAGAATTCAGTGCCTGAAATTGACTGAAACAAGTCAGCACTTGTTTCTGACGTTTTTCAGAAGCTGGAAAGTTGTTATTCCAACAGATATTTTCTTCCATTGCCCTTTTATTTGAATGTATCCAAACTAACAAGGTTTTTAAAAAGTTTATTTTCAGCAGTAGGTGGCACTATGAAGTTTCAAAATTATCCCAATATAAAATAAAATGCTAAGCACATACACTACTTTAAAAAGAACATGAAAATATATCAGAAAAAAATCTGATAATCAAATTAATATTTTTCTAAATTTTACAATTAACAAAAAGTCTAAAGCAATAAAAAGTTCTCTATACTCTTTGTAAAGTACCACCATAGGTTGTTCTTGAATGTACTGTTTCATCTACTTTGAATTTCCTGAAAATTATATCTATCTCATTTGCATATAAGCTTTAATATTGCAATAATGACTGTCAATACATATAGACTAGGTATGTATGTTTTATAAGGTAAATGAATGTATACCAACAGGAATACACCAAATTGAAATGCATTTTGGATTTTTCTTGCTTGGTTGAAAGTTTATATTTACAAGCAGAGACTAAAGCATTACTATACCCCACATAATCTCCAGGATTAGAAAGATGTTTCTTCAAACTTTTTCTTCAAAACGTTTTCTTCAAAACTTTACTACACAAAAATCTATAAAGGGCAACTAACAAAACAAACCTGTGTTTTCAGGTATTTCAGGTTGCCTAATGAAAAAAATTAACAATATTGCACAAGTATTGTGGGTACTTTGTTTCAGAAAGTTCTCAGTACAATACACCTCGTTCCTCAGTGGCGAGCGTAGGGCAGGATAATGCAGTGAGATGTGGTATTTTTATTAAGCTGATTTTTGGATGGCTGCCTTCTGATTAAAAATTAAGGGCTGGTCTGCCTGAGCACACGGAAAGGAAAAAAGAAATTAAGCAAGGAACACAAATGAAATATATAGTCAATGTTCTTTTATCTGGCCTGACCAGGAAGTGTCCTTGCCTTTTTTTTTTTTCACTCCAGGCTTCAAGGAAGCTACTTGGCTTTGCATACTATTTCTGCACTACGATACAACCTAACACCTCAGATTCATGCTTGCTTTTATTTTGCTTTTTAATAAATAAAGCATGTAGAAAAGACACTTTTATAGCTTCAGGACAATTTTTCAGGTACTTACATTGTGTATTACGCATTTTGTGCTAACGTGGTCTGCTTACTGTTTCTTTTATAAAATTGAAAAAGTCAAATGCTGGTACTTAATAAAAACATGTTTTGCAAGGAGCTGGTAGCAAAAGGTTTTTTAACTTGTGACAGCCTGCTTCAGTTTCTCCAGAATCTCCAACAAGAGTCCTTTCAGTTGGGTTCACTTTTAGACCACAGAATAAAGTGGTACTACAAAAATAATACGCGGGAATATACTTTAAATTTTCCTGCTTGTTCGCCATTGCAAATGATTCGTTGTCGCCATGCATTCTACCTCCATGGAATCAAAGCCATAGCATCATAACAGCTACTTCAATATACCTGCCTCATTCAGCACATCTTCTGCTTAGACCTCTGTAAGATGTTTAGCGGCTCTGTGCAAGGCTCCCACTATATTTAGTACAGTTACCATATATGCATATAAGAAATCTTAAATTTCTTTTCCCTTCCAAGGGATATATCAATTTCATATAAATCTTTGGGTAGACATCCGCCTCCAACATGAAGGTGCAAGGAATTTAATTATTAGAGATTTATCAAATTTATACACTTGTGCAATTTTTTAAGTTATAAAATCACACTTTTGTACCTTGAAGGGCAAAACTGAAAATGAGATTTTCACTGCAGCTGTGTTTAAATTGCCAGGTGCACCAACAGCTGTGTTGTTGTGCGTATCCAAAGCAGGCAGCGTTAGAGACCTGCAAAGCACCTGCAAAGGAATAGGTAGTGCCCTAATTCCACTCTATTTGGTTCTATTAGATCTTTGAAAGTAGCCTCAAAAATGGGCTCAAGAAATGACCAGAGGATCATCTGAAAGGTATATACTGACATATACTGTCACCCAGGCTACATACACAATGGCAGTGGTCAGACCCTTTTCAAAGCTGTATTCAGTGCACTGAATTAACTATTTGACTGCTGCTTATATTTTCAAGGGGAATTCAGCTAGCTCTCTGAATAATGTCATTTATTAAATACCAATAGGTGCTTTAAGATAAGACACTCCAGTTATTTGGCATCTGACACTGGGGAAGGGATCCTGGCTTGTCCGCTCTAAGCGTCCCCCCCTACTTTTAGGCGTGTTCTGGCACGAGCTTTCTATTACACCTGAGTAGGACGTGTTGGTGGATGTGATGTGCTGTTAATACGTGTTGCATATTTAATAGCTGGAAAAGCCACAAGGTTGACAAAATGTTATCAGGACCAGTGACATAGCTGCTCTGAGAGGGACCTCGCCCGGAGCTACCAATTCCCAACAACTCGTGTGTGCCGAGCCCCAGACCTCCCGATTTCTGTTTTGGCCGGTCCGGTGGCTCGCTCGGGTTCCCCGGCCCAGCGCACACGCGGCTGATCCGGGGCTCTGCTGTTGCCTCTGGGTCCTGCCGTTCCCGGCCGTCCCCCTGCTCCAGCGCCGAGCTCACGAGCACGGGGCTCCCGCACCCACCGGGACCACCCCGAGCAGGGGCTGCCCGCGGGCCGCGGCACCGGGGCTCGGCGGCGGGGGCTGAGGGCGGGACGAATTTCCCGACGCGGCCGCTGCCGGGAAAGCCACCGCCTCGCGGGCCCCGCGGGCGCTGAGTGGCTGCGCGGCCGGGCCGGGGCGGAGCGGGGGGGGCGGCCGCCGGCCCGGCGCGGCCCCGTCCCCAAACAGCGCCGGGAGCGAAGCGGCGGGCGGTGTCGGGCCAGCCACCCCGCCGTGCCAGCCTCCCCGTGCGCCGCGGCCCCGCGCCATGGAGATCGAGCCGCCGCCCGCCGCACAGGTGAGCGCGGCCCGGGGGTCCCCGGCGGTGCGCGGACCCGCCGCCCCCTCGGGCAGCGCGGCCCAGGCCCCGCCGGTGCCGGGAGAGGGCGGGGCGCGCGTCACGCGC